ACAAATTGAAAGACAAAAATCACATAGTTATATCAATTGATGCAGAAAAAGCATTTGACAAAATCCAACACCCTTTCTTGATTAAAAACTCTCAGCAAGGTGGGAATAGAAGGATTATTCCTTAATATAATAAAAGCCATATATGACAAACCCACAGCCAACATCATACTCAATGGGCAAAAACTAAACTCATTTCCCCTAAGAACAGGAACAAGACAGGGATGTCCACTTTCATCACTCCTGTGTGACATAGTACTGGACGTACTAGCCATTACAATCAGACAAGAAGAAGAAATAAAAGGCATCCAAATTGGAAAAGATGTAAAACTGTCCTTATTCGCAGATGACATGATACTGTACATAGAAAACCCTAAAGACTCCATCAAAAAATTATTAGACTTAATAAATGAATTTGGCAATGTAGCAGGATACAAAATTAATGCCAAGAAATGAATGGCATTTCTATACACAAGTAATGAACTTACAGAAAAAGAGACTAAAAAAGCAATCCAATTTACCATCGCACCAAAAAAATAAAGATACCTAGGAATAAACTTCACTAAGGAGGTAAAAGACCTATATGCAGAAAATTACAGGACCCTGATAAAAGAGATAGAGGAAGACATAAACAGATGAAAGAACATACTGAGTTCATGGATTGGTAGAATCAACATCATCAAAATGTCCATACCTCCCAAAACAATCTATAGATTCAATGCACTCCCCATTAAAATACTAACAGCATATTTCACAGACCTAGAACAAAATTTCTAAAAATTCATCTGGAATAAAAAAAAGACCTCGAATAGCTGCAGCAATCCTGAGGAAGAAGAACAAAGTAGGTGGGATCTCAATACCAGATATCAAGCTGTATTACAAAGCCACTGTTCTCAAAACTGCCTGGTACTGGCACAAGAACAGACATATAGATCAATGGAATAGAATAGAGAACCCAGAAATCGACCTTAAACCACTATGCTCAATTAATATTTGACAAAGGAGGCAAGAACATGCAATGGAGTCAAGACAGTCTCTTCAATAAATGGTGCTGGGCAAATTGGACAGATACATGCAAAAAAATGAAACTAGACCACCAACTTACACCATTCACAAAAATAAACTCAAAATGGATATTTTTTCTTTTCTTGTTTGTACATTTTGTGTCATATCTAAGAATTGATTGCCAAACCCAAGTCCATGAAAATTTATTCCTGTGTTTTCTACTAACTGTTCGATTTTTATTGTATTTTTAATGTTTTTATTGATTTTTTTTAGAGAGAGAGGAAAGGAGAGGGATAGAGAGATAGAAACATCAATGAGAAAAAAGCATCATTGATTGGTTGCTTCCTGCACACACACCACAGGGGATTGAGCCTGTAACCCGGGCATGTGCCCTGACTGGGAATTGAGCCAGCGGCTTCTTGATTCCTGGGTAATGCTCAACCGCTGAGCTACAAGGGCCGGGCCTAACTATTTTATTTTTAGCTCTTAAATATAGGCCTTTGATGCCTTTTTACTGGATTTTTGTGTATTTTGTGAGGTATGGTTGCATCTTCCATTTTTTGCTTGTGCATAAACTATTCTTTCCCCTTCATTGAAGGGGATTGCTGAAAATTAGTTGACATAAATAAATGGGTTTATTTCTAGACTCACAATTTTATTTTGTTGGTTTATATGTCTACTCATATGGCAGTACCATACTGCTCTGATTACTGTATAAGTTCTGAAATCAGGAAGTGTGAGTCCTCCAACTTTGTTTTTCATTTTCAGTATTGTTTGGGTATTGGGGCCTCTTGCAATACCATATGAATTTTAGGATGAGCTTTTCCATTTTTGCAAAAAAGAAATGCTGTTGGAATATTGTTAGTATTGCATTGAATCTGTAGATCACTTTTGAGAATATTGCCATGTTTAAAATATTGTCTTCCAATTCATAATCACAGGATACTTTTCAATTTATTCAGGGTTTTTAAATTTCCTTAGCAATTTTATAGCTTTCAGTGGACAAGTCTTGAGCCTTCTTTGATAAAGCTATTCCTGATATTGAAGAAGATTTTGTTGAAGATTTTTGCATCGATGTTCATAAGAGTTAATGATCTATAGTTTTGTTTTCTTTCTTTTGGGGGGTGGGGTGGGGTGGGGTGGGCTGATTTATTAGGTGGTTATTACAGGGTTCAGACCACAGAAGTGGTGTCAAGCTCCGGGAATGTGACCCCTCAATGTTGATCACAAAGCCCCCAAGGCTGGTCCCGATGAGCCCCAAGGTCAGAAATGGAACTGAAAGGCCTGGGTCACATGCTGCTTCCAGGCGTCCAGGCTGGGCAGCAGGGAAGAGATGCCCATGACGTGCCAGGTCTCCCCGTCGGACACCAGCGAGGTCTGGTAGGATAGCAGCTGCACACCTGCCTCTGCCAGGAGCCCAATCATGGTAGGCAGCAGGCAGGGTTGGAGGGCTGAGCCCGGAACAGGAGCAGGGGCAGACCCCTGCTGAGAGGCACTTCTGGTCTGAAGGCAGCTCCGTTGAGTGCCTGCAGCACAGGTGTGGTGCCCTGGACAAAGCCCACAGCCTCGTAGGGGGCACTTGCCAGGGCCACGCTCAGGAGGCCTTCCCCGCATCCTTGCTCGCCTGGCACAGCGGGGTTATGGGAGGAGGTTACATTGAGGCCGCCCTCCTTCACCAGCAGCTTGGCATTCACCAAGTTCACATCCGCATGATTGGAAGCGTCTTTGAGGCGGCTGACAATGACTGCGGGGCTCAGGCAGCTCCCAGCATTCTTCAGGGATAAGCCCTGCATTACCACCTGGATGGTCCCTTTGGGGGACCCTGCCCAGGCTCGCATCAGAGTCCCCAGAGCTTCGGCCAGACCGAGCCAAGGTTTGGTGTGCGGAGAGAAGGTGATGATAAGGGCCTGGGCATTCACAACCCCTGCGAGGGCTCTCCCCTTCACCATGTCCACGAACTGGACAGCGATCTCCTCCCGGCTGTGGCTCTGGGCCTCCTTGGTGCTGGCGCCCAGGTGGGGGCAGCTGATGACATTCTCGTGGTCCACCAAGGCTCGGTCAGCGGCTCCTCCGCGAACACGTCCAGCGCTGCGCCCGCGCACTGCCCCGACTGCAGGGTCCGGAGCAGGGCGATCTCGTCCACGATCCCTCCGCGGGCGCAGTTTACCACGTGCACGCCCTTCTTGCACAGGGCGAAGGTGCTGTCGTTCAGCAGGTCTGTCGTGGAGGGCAGGAGAGGGGTGTGCATGGTGATGAAGTCACAGAGGGGCCAGATCTCCTCCAGGGGCAGCTGCTGAATGCCGAAGGAGGCCGAGGCCTCTGGTGAGATGATGGGTTCGTACCCTACAGTTTTCATCCCAAAGGACTGCATCCGGACGGCCACTTCTCTCTCGATCTTCCCCAGGCCAAGAATTCCCAGGGTCTTTCCATTCAACTCGGTGCCCATGAACTTCTTTCGGTCCCATTTGCCAGCCTTCATCGAAGCCGTCGCCTGGGGAATCTGCCTGGCCAGACATATGATCATCCCACAAGTGAGCCCCACAGCACTGAGACTGTTCCCATTGGGAGTGTTCATGACCAGGATGCCCTTCCTCGTGGCGGCCTCCAGATCCACGTTGTCCACACCGATGCCGGCCCTGCCCACTACCTGGAGCTTCTCTGCTGCGTTGATGACATCCGCGGTCACCTTGGTGGCCAAGCACACGATAAGGCCTTAGCAGTCCTGCAGCTCGGCTATCAGCTCCTCTTTGCTCAGGTTCTGCTTCTCCACCACCTGCAGCCCTCCATCTTGCAGGATCTTCCAGCAGCAAGGGTCCAGGCTGTCACCAATAAGCACTTTCTGCAGATTTGCAAAGGCCATTGCTGGAGCCGGCCTCGGGATCTACAGCTCTCCCTGGACACAAACACCTCCGCACCGAGAAGCTTCTGTTCAGAAGGCCGGGCTTGTGTTACTGGGCCTTGTTTTCTTTTGATGTCTTTTTTGGTTTTGTTTTTAGAGTAATTGTGGCCTCATGAAATTACTTAGTGTTCCTTTTCATTCTGTTTTTTAGGAGTTTAAAAGAATTTGTGTTAATTCTTTCTAAAATGATTAGTCAAATGCAGGTCTTCACTTTTTCAAAGTTGTTTGTTTTTTTAAAAAAATATATATTTATATTTATTTCAGACAGGAAGGGAGAGGAGAGCGAGAGAGAAACATTAATGATAAGAGAGAATCATTGATAGGCTGCCTCCTGCATGTCCTCTACTGAGGATCTAGCAACTGGGGCATGTGCCCTTGACTGAAATAGAACCCAGGACCCTTAGTCCGCAGGCCAATGCTCTATCCACTGAGCCAAACCATCTAGGGCAATTTCAGAAAGTTTTTATTACGAATTCAATCTCCTTACTTGTGCCAGGTATGTTCAGACTCTAGCTCTTCAGTTACATTTATAGTTCATAGCTTTGAAGGAATTTTTTATTTCATTCAGGTTATATAATTTGTTGTTGAATAATTGCTCATAATTTCTCTTATAATCCTTTGTAAATTCAGATAATTGGTGGATATATATATATATATCATTATTTTAATTATAAAAATATGTGTATTGTTATAATATAGACTAGAGGCCCAGTGCACAAAATTCGTGCATGGGTAGGGTCCTTAGGGGACCAGTGATCAGGGCCAATCGGGGCCTTCCTCCTGCCAGCCAGGGCCTCCCTCCCCTGGCTGCTGGCAGCCGGCCTGGGCCTTCATTCGGTGCTGCCCCCTGGTGGTCAATACACATCATAGCAAGCGATCAGTTTCCCAGTGAAACTCCTGTGGGGACAATTTGCATATTAGGCTTTTATATATATAGATATGGCATTATTTGGTATATTTATAACAATATTTCAGATAACACTTGGTATATAGTGTAACATAATATATATAAAAATATGTCTATACATAAAAATGGTATTATGGCAATAACTGCTGGCACAGTCACTAATCTAACTCCCTTAACTTCCACAACTCATAGAACTGTCCCTGGAGGTAAAGGAGCAAGGAGACAAGAATGTCATCCTGAGCAATAATCAGGCAAAGATGCTGGTGAACTGGGATGTGGTGCAGGACTCAGGTGCCTCAGGTAATGACTGATGTGGAGAGAAGGTCAATGAGGCTTCACAGTGGAACAAGACACCAAAGGACATGACAAACAGAGAATTAAGTATTAAAGGGAAGTATGGGCTGTGGATTCTCAAAGGAGGGAATGCATCCCAGAAGGAAGGAGGCCTTTGGGACAACCCAAGATGTCAACCTTGTCCTTGTCTTGTAGGCTCTTCTGTGGTGGGCCTTGTCTCCTCTCCAGGGATGGGTAAGTTGCTGGTTGAGGCCCACCTGGTCCTGGAAACTGAGGAGCAGTCAGTTCTGAATGAGACAGACAAGGGGCTGCTGCAGAAAGACTCCCCCGTACTGCTCTCAGATGTCATGTCTGCCTTTGTGAGCAACAAGGACACTCAAAACCTCAGCTCCCCAGTCACCTTTGTCTTCAAGCATGTGAGTGCTGGTGAAATGGGTCTGTGGGTGTGGAAGAGGCCTGAGTCCTGGACATAGTCTTGGAGTTCAGGGGCTCTCCCATGGGTGCATCATCTCCCCAGGGAAGCCCATCACAAGCAGGATTTGGTCAGAATTTCTGAGCACCTAATCACCAGCTCACACCTTGCTCTGTTCCTACAGTCAGTGATGCCGGAGCCAAGGCAGAAGGTGTTCTGTGTTTTCTGGGAGCCTGGCCAGACGGGGTGTGGTCATTGGTCCTCCAAAGGCTGCTGGATGGTGGGCACCAGAGACACCAGCACCACCTGCCAATGCAGCCACCTCAGTAGTTTTGCCGTCCTCATGGCCCACTATGATGTGCAGGTGAGAGACTTGAGAAGGGACTTTGTTCAATGTCTATTGCTATGTAATAAGTTCCTATGCATGTTACACCTAAAAAACATAATTTATTATTCTGCAATTTATGTGAGTCAATAAATAAACATAGTGCACCTGGGTTGTCTGGTCAGGGTCTTACACAAGCCTCTCATCTGAGGATTTCTGTCCTCCTCTGAGCTCTCTGGTTGCTGGCAGAATTCAGTTTCCTATGGTTGTAAGACTGAGGTTTTACACTCTTGTTAGTTGGCAGCAGGGGTCACATTCAGCTACTAGGTCCTCCCTGCATTCCTTCTTATGTGGCCCTCTCTCAGGCCCTCTTACAATGTGTCTATGCTCTTATCTGGAGACTAGCAGCAGAAGCTCCCTCACATTGAGATATTCTCCAGCCCTGACCAGTTTTCCCAGTGGTTAGAGCATCAGCCCATGCACTGAAGGGTTGCAGATTCAATTCCAGTATGTTGTTTAATCTCCACATATTTGAGGGTTTCTTTACTTCCTTTTTGCAGTGGATTTCTATATATGAATATATCTTACCTAATAATAGACAAACATGTAAATTGACCATATCTTTGCTACGCTAACCAGCCAATCAGGAGAGTATGCAAATTGACCCAACAAAGATGGCGGTTAATTTGCATACATAGGCTCCAAGCGGCGGAGCAAAGCCTGATGGCCCTGGGGTTAAAGCAGCGAAGCCTGACAGCTTCGGTGCCGGCTCTGGCCAGAGCTCGGCCAGAGCAAAGGTCTGGGTCCCAGTTGCCAGAGGCAAACTGGTGCCAGCAGCCAAGGGAAGGGAAGGCCTATTGCACGAATCTCTTCATGCCACAAGCCTCTAATATATATATATATATATATATATATATATATATATATATATATATATATATATGTAATTGATTTCAGAGAGGAAGGAAAAGGGAGAGATAGAAACATTAATGATAAGAGAGAGAGAATCATGGATTGGCTGTCTCCTGTGTGCCCCCCCACTGGGAATCAAGCCTGCAACCCAGGCATGTGTCCTGACTGGGAATCCAACCCTGACTTCCTGGTTCATAAGTCCATGCTCAACCACGGAGGCACGCAGGTCCGGCTTTGCAGTTGCTTTCTAATTTTAAGGCATCGTTCTTGGAGAATATGCTTGGTATAATTCAATCTTCTTGAATTTCTTAATGCTAGTTTTGTGACCCAACATATGGTCTGTCCTTGAGAATGTTCCATGTGCACTGTAGAAGAATGTATAATCTGATGTCTGGGGATGAAAGGTTCTGTAAATGTCAATATGTCCATTTGATCTAGTGTTTCAGTTAAGGCTGATATTTCTTTATTGATTTTGTGTTTGGTTGATTTGTCTAGAGCTGTCAATGGAGTATTAAAGTCCTCAACTGTGATTGTGTTGATCTGTTTCTCCCTTTAATTCCATGATTAGTTGTTTTATATATTTCAGTACTCCTTGATTGGTTGCATATATATTAAGAAGTATTATGTTTTCTTGATGTAGTGTACCCTTTATCATTTTAAAGTGGCTATCTTTGTATCTTGCTATCTTTGTTATTTTAAAATCTATTTTGTCAGACATAAGTATGGCTATACCTGCTTTTATTTGGATGTTATTTGCTTGTAGAATCATTTCCTACCCATTTTCTTTGAATCTGCCTTTGTCTTTGCAGGTTAGATGTGTCTCTTGCAGCATTTGGTTGACTTTTGTTTTTTGATCCACTCTGCCACTCTGTGCCTCTTTATAGGTGAATTCAGACCATTTATATTTAGGGTAATTATTTATGTATAAGGCTTTTCTATAGCCATTTTGTCTTTTATTTTCTGGTGGCTCTGTGCCTCCATTGGTGCTTTTCCTTTGTGTCTCTGTCTATTGTTTTTGTTTGGTGATATTCCATACTTCTTCTCTCTGTTTCCTCTTTTTTTTAGGCTATGTGTCCTGGTTTGGAGATTTGTGTGTGGTTACCATTAGGTTTATAAAAAAATAAATTTGCTTATATACAGTAGCCTTTTTTCTTTTGAGTGTGTCTGATCTTCATTCTCCTTTGCCAGTTCAGTCCTTTTCCCCTCCCCTTTATGGTTTTGTTGTCACAAATTATCCCTGTTTATGCTGTAAGTTTTTGGTGATCTTACTTGTAGAGTTGTGACCTTTTGATCTTTGTTTCAGGTAGAATAACCTTCTTGAGTATTTCCTGCAATGGAGGTTTTCTGGTGGAAAAAAACAACCCTTATCTTCTGCATGTCTGGGAACATCTTTATTTCTCTTTCATATTGAAAGGATAATTTTGCTGGATATATTAGTCGTGGCTGGTAATTTTTCTCTTTCAGATGTTTGAGCATTTGGTTCCACTCTCTTCTGGCTTGTAGAGTTTTTGTTGAGAAATCAGATGAAATTCTAATAGGTTTTCCATTGTAGGTCACTGGCTGCTTTGAGAATTTTTTCTTTGTCATTAATTCTTGACACTTCAATACCAAGTGCCTCTTTGGATTGAGATAACTAGGAATTTTGTTTGCTTTTTTGATTCAAGGATCTAGTTCATTCTATAGGTTTAGAAAGTTCTTATCCACTATTTGTTTGAATAGACTCTCCATTCCATGCTCCCTCTCCTCCTCCTCCAGAATACCTATAATTCTAATATTTCTTTTTCTGATGGAGTCAGATAGTTCTCATAGAGCTCTTTTGTTTTTCTTTATTCTCAAGTCTCTCTCTTCTCCCCCTGCACCATTTCTAGATTCCTGTCTTCAATATCATGAATTCTTTCCTCCATCTAGTTGGCTCTGTTGTCTATGCTCAGTAGCTCACTCTTAATCTCCTTAATTGCATGCTTCATTTCTAGGATTTCTGATTGGTTCTTTTTTTTCAGTCTGTTTGGTAAAGTGCTCATTTTGTTCATTGATTTGTTTTCTGAGTGCATTAGATTGCCTGTCTATATTTTCTCGCATCTCCTTGAGCACTTTTAGAACTGCAATCTTGAAATCTCTGTCATTTATATCACACTAGAGGCCCGGCACATTAAATTCGTGCATGGGTATGGTCCCTAGGCCTGGCCTGTGATCAGGGCCATCTTTCCCAGCTGTCGGCAGCTGGGCGACCCCCCCGCCACCACCCACCCCCGGTTCCCCATTTGCCATTAGGGGTTTGGAGCCTGCCAGCCATGTCAAGATGCCCCAGGCAGTTTTCAGGCTGGCTACATCTCCGATCAAGGTGGGGGTCCCCATTGGGGGGGGGTGAGGCCAGCTGTGGCAAGGGGTCACAGGTGGCCATGCCTCCCATTAGGGTGGGGGTCCCCACAGGGGGTGGGGCCAGCAGGGGCAAGGGGTAGCCTGTAGTTTGCAAGCTGGTTACACTCCCAATTGGGGTGGGAGTCCCTGCTGGGTGGCGGGACCAACCAGGTGATGGGCCACCAGCTATTTGCAGGCCCGACATGCCACCAATCAGGGTGGCAGTCCCTGCTGGGGGGCGAGGCTGACCACAGCAAGGGACTGCCGGTTTGCAGGTTGCAGTTGTTCTGGTCTTTGGTCATTCTGGTCTTTTGCCATTTCCATCACTGGGCTTTTATTATATAAGATATTTCCATGTGTTCCAGCTTGCTTTCTGGAGATTTTACATTTTCTATCTGGTCATCCTCATTACTTTCCTTGTTCATGGTATTTTCTGTCCTCCTTTGCTTATGCATTTATCTCTGAAGAGGTCTTTCTAATATTTTCCAGTAGGTTGTGCTGAATTGCAAGATTGTTTTACCTCTGTGATCTCCCAGTCTTGAACCACTGCTGCTTCTGTAAGACAGTACAGCTATGCTGCTTGGGGATGGGTTTTGTTTTGCCCTTACCATAATGGTAACTCCTGACCTCTATGGGGTTCCACCCCAAGCACATCTCCTGGGGATGTCACAGAGGGAAACAGCGGTTTTCCTGCGATAGCTCTTGGTTCACAGATAGTATGCTCCTGGACCCAATTCCAAAGGCAAAGGGAGGTGAGTTTTGGAAATCCAAGTAGAGGCAGGGCTCCGTGGTTTTGTTTCTTTGTGTGAAACACCACCACCAGCTGGACACTGGGGAGCCGCATGGCAGAACCACGTGCTCTGTCAGGGATCTGCTGACTCAGACACTCCCTCACAGCTGGCACTGCTGGGCTGCACCCCAGGACTCCCAGAGCCCCTGCAGCTCTCTGTTCCTCCTGGCCAAAGGAAGCACCTACTATCGCCAGATATTCCCCTCTCCCAGCCAGCCAGGCGCTGCATCTGCAGGTCCTCTCTTCTCATCTCCCCATTTATTCCTGGTTGCCCACTTTTAGATGTTTCAAAGCCCGGGTCTCTTAGGCATGCATCCGTGTTGAGCAGGGACTTGAATGTTGAATTATAGTTGGTTAACTTCTTGAAATTTCAGAGGCAGAGGACAAGGGCCTCTCTCATGCTGCCATTACTCTGATGTCACTTGTATTTATTCTTTGTCCCTCTTTTTTTACTCACATAGTGTTATTTTTCATGGCCGTGCATTTTGTTTTTATTTATTATCTCTAAAAGATTATTCTATTCCAATCTACAAAAAGACATTCCATTATTTTTTGCCATCACATTTCATTGTATGCATGTGCTGTAAATTACATATCAAATCTTCTCATAGTGGGAATTTTGTTTCATGATCATTTCCTACTACAAATAAAGTTGTAATTATTTAGACACACTGCATTGTTTTCTTGTTTGAGTATCTAGTTAGTATGCATACTATGTCAAATTTTTTTAATGGTACAGTGAAAAGTTTATTTCCCCTGGTGACTTAAGAACTCTAATAAGAATGTGCTATCTACTTGGCAACACCTCAGTTATTTGGCCTCTGCAAAGCAAAGAGTGACTCACACTTGCATGCATGCACACTGACACCTAGAGACACAGCTCCAAGATTCACTGGTAGACTTACCTCCAAATCTGTTAAATATGTCAATGCCATTCTTGTGGTATTTCCTCAGGTGATGCTTACGAAACAGATCTAAAGTATATTTAAGTGTTTTAACCTGACTTTTATTACATGGAGAAAGAGGTGATTTTCATCAGTATTTTTAAATGGGGAAACCAAGGATTTTTCTCAACACTTATGATAGTAAATGACATTGAAAATACTTCCCTATTCCAAATATGGAATGCTGATATATCTCTAAATTGCACTGCTCATCTCTTAAAAAAGAAAAAGAAAAAAAGATATGGGTATTGCATAACAGGATGTCTTCATCCTTAATACTGTGTTTTAAGGCAAGAAGCATATACAAAAAGGCAGAAAGAGTAAATTGTTTAGGTGAAAGCATAAAATAAAATATTACCTATAGCTGGGTTACTTATCCCTGACCTATATTGGTAGATATTTCCATATTTTAGCGTATAGAGGTCACACATGTGAACACTCGTACTAGCATTACCTGAAGCTGTATGATTCCTCACACTCTCACAAGGTCATTATCAAAGTTTTGGATCTTTATCCATCTGAGAGTCAAATATAACATATATTGTTATATTAGGAAATTTGTATGTCTTTCATTATGAATGGAATGGAATATCTTCATTTAAATGCGATTTGTATTTCTGTTTCTGGAAACAAGTTGTTCATCTTTCAGTCCATTTCTCTATTGGCCTGTTGAAACATTTCTTATGGATTTGGGAGCTCTTTATCTGGTAGAGAAGTTAGTTTCTTTCCTTACACCAAAGATGCTCAAAACCTAGTATAAGTCAAAATCACCTGGAGAGCTTACTATTTATTTTCAAATATTTACTTAGAAAATAATGTCAATCTTTCGGATTTATTGCAATAATAAAAATAGTGTAAATAATAGCATATTGCTCTTTATCAGATACACCAACTTTGAACATTTAACTTTCATATTCTTTATTACTTTCATATTTCTTCTCTCTCTCTCTCTCTCTCTCTCTCTCTCTCTCTCTCTCTCTCTCTCTCTCTCTTTCTTCTCTCACCTACTTACACCAAAATTAATTTTTGAAATTTATCATTATGGATTTAAGATGATTTGAAAAATCAGAAAGGGAAAAATTTAATCTTTAAAAAATAGGCTGGAGCCCTAGCCAGTTTGTCTCAGTGGATAGAGCATCAGCTTGTGGACTAAAGGGTCCGAGGTTTGATTCCTGTCAAGGGTACATGCCTAGGTTACAGGCTTAATCCCCAGTAGGGGGCGTGCCGGAGGCAGCTCATCAATGATTTTCTCTCATCATTGATGTTTCTATCTATCTCTCACTCCCTTCCTCTCTGAAATCAATAAAAATATATTTAAAAATAAATAAATAAATGGTAAATAATAGGTAGGAAATATTAATTTAACCTACCACCATCATCAGTACTTTTCCTTTTTTAACCAAGGATTTAAATCTATACAGAACAGGTGTTGCAGGGATGAGGCGAGTAAGTCCAAGGTGAGGAGTTAATCCCTGGACATCGAGTCTCCAGATACAGACTCTGTCATACAGTATCACTTCATGGGGATGGAGGATGGTGCTCAACACAGAGCCGTGCACCTCTGTGACTGTCACATGATAAACTATAAGCTTAGTTATGAAGGAAAATCACCCTATGATTTCCAGGGCTTGGTCCTGAATGAGGACTCTCTTATCCCTCAATTTTTACAGAGTCTGAATTAATCAGTTCAGGACCCCCTAGAATTCTAACAGTGTCCATAAACATCACAAATTCACCTGGCTCCTCCACTCCAAATTTTGTTGTACCCTGCCCAAAACTGAAAATGGTAGAAGGGTCATTAACCCAGATTAGGAGAGTGTGACTGCTTTCTCCTCTTTCCTGGGTCCCAGGAGGAGGATCCCGCCCTGGCTGTGATCACCTATGTGGGGCTGAGCCTCTCTCTGCTGTGCCTCCTCCTGGCGGCCCTCACCTTCCTGCTGTGCAAAGCCATCCAGAACACCAGCACCTCAGTCCACCTGCAGCTCTCTATTTGCCTCTTCCTGGCCCACCTGCTCTTCCTCACGGCCATCGACAAAACTGAGCCTGAGGTACTGACACTGTCCCAAAGGATGCATGCCCTGATTATGGAATGAGGAATATATGGGACCATGGTGCATTGGACACCTTAATAAAATGACCTTGGGTTCTGGGAAGATTAGAAGGGTGAGTATCCAATTTCACATTGACCCAACTAGAAATCATACCTTCTTCTTTTCTTTCTTCTTTTAAATATATTTTTATTAAATATATATTACCTTCTTTTGACAATTCATTTATATACAACAGAGTTCTCCCAAATGGCAAAGTATAGGAGAGGTCCTGGGGCCATGCTCCACCCTGACAATCGCACCTGGTGATTCTCACCCCTCCCCCAGGTGCTGTGCGCCATCATCGCGGGTGCCTTACACTATCTCTACCTGGCCTCCTTCACCTGGATGCTGCTGGAGGGCCTGCACCTCTTCCTCACTGCACGCAACCTGATGGTGGTCAACTACTCCAGTGTGAGCAGGTTCATGAAGAAGTTCATGCTTCCTGTGGGCTACGGAGTCCCAGCTGTGATTGTGGCCATTTCTGCAGCATCCAGGCCTCACCTTTATGGAACACCTGCTCGGTAAGGGCAAATTCCCGTTTCTTTATCTGTGAGATGTGTGGAATTGAAGAGCACACTTACTTTCTCCATGACTGTATCTTCAGAGCCAACGAGCACACCTATCACAGAAGAGACACTCAATGTTTGTTGATGAATGAATTAATGAATGAATTTGAATAATTGTTCTACATGTCTAAGGACGAATGCATTTTTAATTCTTTCTCTTTCGTAGCTGCTGGCTCCACCCAGAAAAGGGATTTATATGGGGCTTCCTTGGACCAGTCTGCGCCATCCTCTTTGTGAGTGATGACATCAGAGCATCCTTAACACTCAGCTGAGGGTCATTAGACTTATAACGAGGCGAAAGGATGACATGAGCAAGAATGTCCCTGGGCTGTCTGGGTTTGCTTTGGTTTTCTAAGACTGCTCCTAAAACTACAAGCTCTAACACTGTTACTAAATATGAAAAGTTCTTAAATGTGGAATTTCTGTTGGACGGGCTAGACTAGAGATAACAAACTAAAATGTTATTCACTAAACCTTGTGTGTTTTCCTGAAGGTCAATCTAGCTTTCTTTCTGAGGACCCTCTGGATTTTGAAAAGCAAACTCTCTTCACTCAACAGTGATGTGTCCACCCTCAAGAATACAAGGTAAAATGGAGAAGAGGGTGACAACCCCACAGACATGTGTGGTCCCAAGAGCAAATCCATGTGCCTCAGCAGCCCTGACGTCCCTTCTCGGGGTCTTCTGAGGGAACCCAGAGTAAAGAGATGCAGCTGACCTCCAATGGCAGCCAGCTTGGATTCAGTGGTGGGCTGCTGACTTCCCAGCCACAATGTTCTGTCTCTAATCTCCTTGTAACTCCCTCAGCAAAAGGAATAATTGACATTTGTCGATAAACATTCTTTGGACTTTTGTAAGCAGTCCTACAACAAATGTACAAAGAACCTGTGTGCCCTTAAAAATCTATAACTCCTCCCACAACCCAGTCTACACTTTCATACTCACTCTCGGTTCAGGCTCCCTCTCACCCCTCTCCAGTATCCTTTCTAAATTTTGCATGTCATTATTCCGCTGTATTAGTCATTGGAATAGCCTGTGACCTTTATGAAAATAGAAATCTTGCCTCTGTTACTTTTAATGCCCAGGCCCAGCACTTCCTGATACACAGTACAGACTCAGCAATGTTGGCTGAATAAAATTAGGCATCACCATGAAGCATTATAGATTTTTTTTTGAAACTTGCATTATGAAACTTACATAATTCAATTTAATCCAAATGCCATCCTGGACCCATGTAGCATTTCTATTGTGGAGAATCATTGACAGTAAAGGTCAAAGCTGATACAATGCAGTCTAAGAACTCATCACCCATAGGGCAAGGCAGGAGCATTCATGGGGTAGAGATGAGAACAGCATTGATTCTATTGTTCTGGGTGGATATGGGCCTCTCTTCTCCTCCTACCCAGGATGCTGACATTTAAAGCGATAGCTCAGCTCTTCATCTTGGGCTGCACATGGTGTCTGGGAATCCTGCAGGTGGGTCCAGCTGCTCACACCATGGCCTATCTCTTCACCATCATCAACAGCCTGCAGGGCGTCTTCATCTTCCTGGTGTACTGTCTCCTCAACCAGCAGGTACCACTGTCCACCTCCCACCCAGAACTCTTTCCACTCTCACTTCACTCAGTGAGCTGACTCAGAGCATGCTTTGCCTCTGCAGGTCCGGGAGCAATACAGGAAATGGTGGAAAGGAGTCAGGAAAACCAAAGCTGACTCTGAGAAGTACACACTCTCCAGCAGAGCCATGTCAGATGTCCCTAAACACAATGTGGTAAGGTCATGCATTGCTCCCAGAGCACTTCACTGATAGAGTACCTCATGCCAACACACTGGACAATCTGGGTATATAGTAAGTGACGTCCTAGGAAGGCTCCCACTGAATTTACTCTTTGATTCCTTAACCATTAGCCATGGTCTCAGTTAGAAAATATATATGTTGCTCTTATTTCAGAGGAACTGTGTTCATTTTGACTTTTACACATCAGTAATCTTTTTTTAAAATAAAATTATCCTTAGTTGTATTTAAAATATATAACATCTTTTTAGGCTTACAAATATGAACCTTGTACATTAAACCATACATATATGTACATATTTCTCCTTTCTCTGATTGATATTATTTTAAAGTATCATATGCCTTAAATTTCATTTTCTTCAATTCTTTATTGTTTAAAGTATTACACGAGTCTCCTTTTCCCCCCATTGACCTCTATCTGCCACCCCTCACCCAAGCACAAGCCCTCACCCCCTACTGTCTATGTCCATTGGTTTTACTCACATGCGTGAGTACAAGTCCTTTGGTTGATCTCTTACTGCCTCACGCCGGCTTCCCTCATAGGCTGGACAGTCTGTTCGATGCTTCTATATCTCTGGTTCTTTTTTTCCCCATCAGTTTATGTTGTTCATTATATCTCACAAATGAGTGAAATCATGTGATATTTCTCTTTCTCTGACTGGCTTATTTTGCTTAGCATAATGCTCTCTACTTCCATCCATGCTGTTGCAAATGATACGAATTCCTTCTTTTTTACAGCAGCGTAAAATTTCATTGTGTAGATGTACCACAGTTTTCTAATCCACTTGTCTGCTGATGGGCACTTAGGCTGTTTCCAAATATTAGCTATTATAAATTGTGCTGCTATGAACATGGGGGTGCATATATCCTTTCTGATTGGTGTTTCTGTTTTCTTGGGATACATTCCTAGAAATGGGATTACTGGGTCAAATGGAAGTTTCATTTTTAATTTTTTGAGGAAACTCCATACTGTTCTCTATAGTGGCTGCACCAGTCTGCATTCTCACCAGCAGTGCACCAGGGATCCTTTTTCTCCGCATCCTCTCCAGCACTTGTCCTTTGTTGATTTGTTGATGATAGCCATTCTGACATGGTACCTCATTGTCGTTTTGATTTGAATCTCTCGAGATGATTAGTGACCTTGAGCATGTTTCCATATGTCTCTTGGCCTTCTGTATGTTCTCTTTCAAAAAGTGTCTATTTAGGTCCATTGTCCATTTTTTGTTTGGGTTGTTTATCTTCCTTTTATTAAGTTGTATGAGTTCTTTGTAAATTTTGGACGTTAAACCCTTAACAGTGATAACATTGGCAAATATGTTCTCCCATGCAGTGGGCTTTCTTGTTGTATTGTTGATGGGGTTTTTTGCTGTGCAGAAGCTTTTTATTTTGATGTGGTCCCATTTGTTTATTTTCTCCTTAGTTTCCATTGCCCTAGGAACTGTATCAGTAAAGATATTGGTATGACATATGTCTGCTATTTTGCTGCCTATGGAGTCTTCAAAGATTTTTATGGTTCCCCTTCTTACATTTAAGTCCTTATCCATTTTGAATTTAATTTCATGTATGGTGTAAGTTGGTGTTCTAGTTTCATTCTTTTCTTTGCAAGTATCTGTTGAATTTTCCCAAACACCATTTATTGAAGAGACTGTCTTGACTCCATTGTATGCTCTTGCCTCCTTTATCAAGTATTATTGAGCATAATGGCTTGGGTTGATTGCTGGGTTCTCTGTTCTGTTCCAATGGTCTATATGTCTGTTCTTGTGCCAGTAACAGGCAGTTTTGAGAACAGTGGCTTTGTAAGATAGCTTGATATCTGGTATTGTGATCCCTCCAACATTGTTCTTTTTTCTCACTATTGCTGTGGCTAATCGGGGTCTTTTTTTAATCCAGATAAATTTTTAGAGAGTTTGCTGTAGGGCTTTGAAATATGCCATTGGTATTTTAATGGGGATTGCATTGCATCTATAGATTGCTTTGGGCAGTATGGACATTTTTAATGATGTTGATTCTACCAATCCATGAACACAGTATATTCTTCCATTTGTTTATGCCTTCCTCTATCTCTTTTTTCGGCGTCCCGTAATTTTCTGAGTACAAGTCCTTTACCTCCTTGGTTACATTTATTCCTAGGTATCTTAATTTTTTTGTTGCAATGGTAAATAGGATTGGTTTTCTTTTTTAATTTTTCTTTCGGTGAGTTCATTATTGGTGTATAAAAAAGCCATAGATTTCTGGGTGTTAATTTTGTATCCTGCTACATTGCCGAATTCATTTATTAAGTCTAGTAGTTTTTTGATGGAATCTTTAGGGTTTTTGATATACAATATCATGTCATCTGCAAATAATGACAATTTCACTTCTTCTTTTCTAATTTAGATGCTTTTTATTTCTTCTTCTTGTCTGATCACTATGTCTAGCACTTCCAGTACTATGTCAAGCAGTAGTGGTTAAAATGGGCATCCCTGTCTTGTTCCTGTTCTTAGGTGAAATGGCTTTAGTTTTTGCCCATTGAGTATGATGTTGGCTGTGGGTTTGTCATATATGGCTTTTATTATGTTGAGGTATGATCCCTCTATTCCCATTTTGCTGAGGGTTTTTATCAAGAAAGGGTGTTGGATTTTGTCAAATCCCTTTTCTGCATCGATTGATATGACTATGTGATTTTTGCCTTTCAATTTGTGTAATGTATCACGTTTTTTGATTTGTAGATATTGTACTATCCCTTGCATCCCCAGGATAAATCCTACTTGGTCATGGTGTATGATCTTTCTGATGTAATGTTGGATCAGATTTGCTAGAATTTTGTTAAGGATTTTAGCATCTATGTTTATGAGGGATATTGGCCTGTAATTCTCTTTCTTTGTAATGTCTTTATCTGGTTTTGGAATTAAGGTAATGCTGGCTTCATAGAATGAGCTTGGAAGTGTTCCTTCCTCTTGAATTTTTTGGACTAGTCTGAGGAGGATAGGTTTTAGTTCTTTGAATGTTTGGCTAAACTCCCCAGTGAAGCCATCTGGCCCCGGGCTTTTGTTTGCTGGAAGCTTTTTAATGACTGCTTCTATTTCCTCCATAGTTATTGGCCTATTGAGATTTTTAGATTCTTCCTGATTGAATTTTGGAAGGTTGTATTTTTCTAGGAATATGTCCATTTCCTCTAGGTTGTCTAGTTTGTTGGAATAGTGCTGTTCATAGTATTTTTTTAAACAATCCTTTGTATTTCTGTGGGGTCTGTTGTTATTTTGCCTCTTTCATTTCTGATTTGTTTATTTGGGTCCTCTCTCTTTGCTTCTTGGTGAGCCTGGCTAGAAGTTCATCAATCTTTTTTGTCCTTCAAAGGACCAGCTCTTGGTTTCATTGATCTTTTGTATTGTTTTTTTGGTCTCTATGTCATTCATTTCTGCTCTGATCTTTATTATCCTCTTCCTTCTGCTCACTCTGGGCTTTTCTTGTTGCTCTCTTTCTAAATCTTTAAGTTGTAGAGTTAGATGATTTATTACCATTTTTCTTGTTTTTTTGAGGTAGGTTTGCAGAGCTCTAAACTTCCCTCTCAGGATTGCTTTCATTGTGTCCCAAAGATTTGGGGTTGTTGTGTTTTCATTGTCATTCATTTCCAGGATGTTTTTAATTTCTTTGTTGATCTCTTAGGTAACCCAATCATTGTTTAATAACATGCTATTCAGCTTTGTTTAAATTTTTTTATTGTTTTAAATGTTGTTTATTTCTAACTTTATGCCATTGTGATCTAAGAAGATGCCTGATATGATTTCAATCTTCTTGAATATGGAGAGACTTTGCCTGTGACCCAATATTGGTCTATCTTTGAAAATGTCCCATGTGCACTTGAGAAGAATGTATATTCTGTGGCATTGGGGTGAAATGTTCTGAAGATGTCAGTTAAGTCCACCTGAACTAGTGAGTCATTTAAGATTGCTGTTTCTTTGCTGATTTTTTTGTCTAGATGATTTATCCAGTGATATCAGTGGGGCATTAAAGTCCCCTACTATGATTGTATTTTGTCAATCTCTCCTTTGATATCTTACAGGAGTTTTTTCTGTATTAGGTGCTCCTGCATTGGATTTATATATGTTTACCAGGATTATATCCTCTTATTGTATCAATACCTTTAGTATTATCAAGTGGCCTTCCTTATCTCTTGTTATGGCCTTCACTTTGAGGTCAATTTTTTCACATATATGTATTGCTACCCCAGCTTTTTTTTCATTTCCATTTGCCTGAGAGATATTTTTCTATCATGCACTTTCAGTAGGTGTGAGTTCCTTGTTCTGAGTTGGGTCTCTTGTAGACAACATATATATGGGTCATGTTTTTTTATCCATTCAGCCACTCGATGTCCTTTGATTGGAGCATTTAGTCCATTTACGTTTAAAGTTATTATTGACTAGAGGCCCATGCATGAAATTCGTGCATGGGGGGGTGAGGGGGGCTAGTGTCCCTCAGCCCAGCCTGCACCCTCTCCAATCTGGGATCCCTCTCCAATCTGGGATTCCTCTCCCAATCTGGGACCGCTTGCTCCTAACATCTCGCCTGCCCACCTGCCTGCCTGATTGTCCCTAACCGCTTCTGCCTACCAGCCTGATCGCCCCCTAACTGCTCCTCTGCTGGCCTTATTGATGCCTAACTTCTCCCCTGCTGCCCTGATCGCTCCCAACTGCCCTCTCCTGCCAGCCCTATGGCCCCCAACTGCCCTCCCTTGCCAGCCTGATCACCCCAACTGCCCTCCCCTGCCAGCCTGATTGCCCCAACTACCCTCCCCTGCTGTGACCCGCCTCCTCCACACAGAGCTGTGGGACCCCCAGGCTGTGTGAGGCGGCGGAGATGTCGGGACTGGCCTCCTCCTTGTCACACAGAGCTGTGGGACCCCCAGGCCTCACCGCGTGGAGCGGCCGCCGGGCCCCACCTCCACTGTGCATGTGGCTGTCTTGTAGTGACCATCTTTGTGGAGTCATCTTGTGGTGCCATCTTGTGGTGGCCATCTTGTGATGATGTCGCATGTGAGGGCGTGATGCCACCTAGGCTTTTATTAGTATAGATAGG